ATAAAAAATCCGCAATTAGTGATGATCATTAGTGACCCTAACTATATAATTTTAATAGGCCGTTGCACACCCTAATGCGAAGCGCCACCCATCGCACTAGTTAATTGATAACGTAATCACCTTATATATTCGAGTTTTTGATACCAAATTGTTATCGTTAAATATAATTATTAGCATATGATCTAATTAATATCATTTAACATTGACCAAGTAATGCAATAGGGGCCGGTGGCGCCCCCATCTTCTCTTGTATATATATATATATATATATATATTATAAATTTATTGATATATATACTGATCACTGTAAAGTATTGGATAATAATATATTTTGCACGAATGCTTTAGTAATAACGAAAAATTAACACACTGCAATATACGGGTAAAATTTCCTTTAGTTTGAACACCAAATTTCTTGAGTTCTGATAGAATAAACTGACAACCAAAATCTACCTCTAGCCAACACTATTCATAAATTATGCCAATTATAACCTAAACAATGCCATTAGTCACTTTGTCTACACCTTTTCTTGAGAGATCATAATGGTAGTATAATCTAGCAATGCATGCGAGTAATTTGAGGCAGGACGTTATCAGTGCCATTAACGCCATATAAGTATGGATTACTATTTCTGAAGTGTAAATTGCCTATTTAAACAAGAAGTAAATAAAATATTTGAATTTTTATATCAAAATTGCATACGTATAATATATAAAATTTATCGACATACCATAATAATAATAAGTGGAATATTCTTAGCAATAACTTCTAACAATACTCTAAATAAAATAAACACTTTAATTTTATGTTCAATAGTTTTGGGTTTAGGATTGATAACTTCGGGATTATGATTGTTATTATCTTGTTTTTTGCTTTTTACATGAGCTTTTACTTTTTTAGCATAATCTCTTGATATGTCATCCAAAAATAATAAAGATTCGCTGTCAAGTATTGCACAAATGATAAATATGATATGTTCCATATCTATGTCCTTGCCATCATCGTTATTTAATTTCTCAGTTACACTTTCCAGTAATTTATCAAGGTTATCTTTTTCTGCGTTTATAATGTTTATAATATCAGTGCGTTTTTCTCTCATTGCCTCAGAAAATATGTTTCTGATTTTCTCAGTTTTAAAATTTATTACGCTCTTATCATTTGTTACGCTCTTATCATTTGTTATTCCTTGCTCAACAGAAATTAATGATATATGTTTATTGGACGTTTGTCCTTCATTAGAAGTTTCTTGCCCATCATAACTTTCTGCTTTATCATATATTTGGTAAACTTCATTAAGAGTTTCGTAAAAATAGTCTTCAATTTTTGCTTGAATATTTCTAAAAATTTCCTTTTTGATTTTATTAGAAATTCCTGTAGAAAAATTTTTCACTTCCTCTTCGATATCATTAGAAACTTCCGTTATTTTTTCTCTTTCATCAGAAAGTTTCGTAGTAATTTCTTCTGTATTCTCGTTGACTTTATTAACAAATTCTTTAACCTTCTCTGTTTTATTACTAATTTCAGGAGAAAGTTCATTGATTCTTTTAGAAGCTTCAGGAGAAATTGCTTCAGCATTTTTAGAAACCTTAAGTAAATTTTCTTCCACGTTGATGTTAGAAAATTTAGTAGAAAATTCTTTCATGTTCTCTTGGAATTTTATTTTCTTCGTAATACAATTTTCTTCTGCCTTCATTTTTTTATAAACTTCATTATTTTCTAGAATCTTGCCTGAGATTTCTTCTTGCAATTTGTTACAAAATCGTTCCAATAATTTGTTGAAAAGTTCCTCTAGTAACATAATAGCAGCTTCAATATGTATCTCAGCAAAAATTATTCTTTCTATATCATTAGACTTTATTTTTTTTAAAAGATTTATTTTTGTAGTAAGTTGTACCCTTTTAGGCTCTTTTTCAAGTGTTTTAATTTGTATTTCTAGAGAAATTTCTGCGGAAAGTATATAATTCACATAACGTCTTTTAGATATCTTAATAGAGATATTATGAAGAATTTCGGATATCTTGTTAATAATTTTGGATTGTATATTGCTGGAAATTTTGTCAGAATCGTCATATAATTTGCCATCTTCAAAAATTTCCTTTATTATTGAAGAAATGTTTTCTGTTTTCACTAAATCTTGCTCAATTTCTTTAAGAATTTTTTCGCTTTCGTTTTCTTTTTCGTTTTCGTTTAATTCATTCGTATCTTTGTTTAAAGACTGGTCAGAATCCTCTTGATTAGGAACAGGAACCTCATCAGGAACATTTAATGATACTACATCTGAAATCAAAGTTTTTGGAATATTTTCTATTTCTTCTATATCTTCGCTTTCATTATTTGCACCATTCTTTGTTGTGCCTTCATTATTTGTACCGTTTCCTGCTGAGCTGACAAAAAATCCAACAATTTTTTCTTTTGAATTTTTAAAGAACTTAACAAACTTGTTAATTTGCATGTTAAGTTGCTCCTTTTTTTCAGCATTAAATTCGTTGCGCATTTCCTCCCTTTCTTCTTCAGTAGGTCTCATAATATAGATAACAATGACGAAGACCATAACTATATTTATTGCTACTTGAATGCCCCATATAATTATACTTTAAAATGATAAAAAAAACAAAATTAATTCAATAATAATTGAAAACTTGCAAATAAAAATGAAATAAATTACCTTGGCAAAAAAAGTTCTGGTTTTTCTTGAGTATTGATAAAAACAAAGTAAGTAGTAAAAAAGAAATTAATAGCAATGATTGCATAACTTGTGTATACATGAACTATTTCAACAATCTTTGGATCGAAATTGGAAAGGGGTTTGAATGAAAAGATGTATACAAATATGATTATTACAAGAATTATAATCGATACAAAAATTAAGACTAAGTTATCGCTCCAAAAATTAGCTAAAATATAAAAGTTTATAAGTTTTTATTTTATTTTATTTTTTT